GGGCACCTGGCTATTTAAAAAAATATTAAGGGATGTAAAGGGAGACATAGATTCAAATACAATAGTAATTGGAAATTGCAATACCTCACTCTCTGCAATGGACAGATCAGTCAAACAGAAAATCAGCAAGGAAACAGCAGAGTTAATCAACACAATAGACCACATGGACCTAACAGATATCTACAGAACTTTTAATCCTACAGTTGCATAATAAACACTCTTCTTATCAGTGCTTGAAACCTTCTGTAGGACTGACTGCATGCTAGGCCATAAAGTAAGTCTCAGAAAATTTTAAAAAATCAAAATCATACCATGCATCTTCTTGGATCATAATGAAATGAAGCTGAAAGTCAAAACTAAGGAAACCCTAGAACATATGCAAACAGATGGAGACTGAACAACATTCTCCTGAATGAACTGTGGGTAGTAAAATAGATTAAAAGAGAAATCAAAAAACTTCTGGAAACAAATGAAGACCACAACATAACATATCAATACTTATGGGATATAGCAAAAGCAGTGTTAAGAGGAAAGTTTATAGCAATTGGTGCCTATGTCAAGAAATTAGAAAGGCACCAAATAAATGAACTATAAATGTGCCTCAAAGATCTAGAAAAACTACAGCAAACCAAACCCAAAACTAGTAGGTGAAAGGAAATAATTAAAATTAGAGAATAAATCAACAAAATTGAAACCAAAAAAACAATACAGAAGATCAGCAAAATGAAGAGTTGGTTTTTTGAAAAAATAAACAAAATTGACACACCATGGGCCCAACTAACCAAAAAAATGAGAGAGAAGACCCAAATCAAAAAAATTAGAGATGAAAAAGGAAATGCAACAACAGACACCACAGAAATAAAATGAATAATCAGAAATTACTACAAAGAGCTTTATGCCAACAAACTGGGAGACCTAAAAAAATGGATAGATTCCTGGACACACACAACCTACATTTAAAGGCATTTAAAGAACTAACTCCACTTCTTCTCAAGTTATTCAAAACAATTGAAAGGGAGGAATCCTCCCAAATTATTTCTATCAAACCAGCATCACCTTAATTCCTAAATATGGAAAAGATGAAACAGAGAAAGAGAATTACAGACCAATTTCCCTGATGTACATAGAAGCAAACATCCTCAACAAAATTCTAGTCAATCAAATTCAGCAACACATCAGAAAGATCATTCACCCAGACCAAGTGGGATTTATCCCTTGTAGGCAAGGATAATTCAACATTCACAAATCAATCAATGTGATACATCACATTAACAAACTGAAGAACAGAAACATATAGTTATCTCAACAGATGCAGAGAAAGAATTTTATAAAATATACCACCCTTTCATGATGAAATCTCTAAGCAAATTGGGAATAGAAAGTACCTTACTCAACACAATCCAGGCAATCTATGACAAACCCATGGCCAGGGTCCTATTGAATGGGGAAAAGTTGGAAGCATTCCCACTGAGATCTGGAACAAAAATGTCCACTCTCCCATTGCTATTCAATAAATTCCTGGAAGTTTTAGCCAGAGCCATTAGGGAAGAAAAGGAAATGAAATGGATTCAAATCCAGAAAGAGGAAATCAAATTATTCCTATTTGTAGATGACATGATTCTATATATAGGGATTCCAAAAGACTCCACCAAGAGACTATTGGAATTCATAGAAGAATTTAGTAAAGTATCAGGATATAAAATCAATACACAAAAATCAACAACCTTTGTATACACAGACAATTCCATGGCTGAGAAAGAACTTCAGAGATCAATCCCACTCACAATAGTTATAAAAAAATCCAATACCTTGGAATAAATTTAACCAAGGATATCAGAGATAGCTAAGATGAGAATTACAAAGCATTAAAGAAAGAACTAGAAGATATAAAAAAATGGAAAGATCTTCCATGTTCATGGATTGGAGGAATCAGTATCATCAAAATGTCCATTCTTCCAAAAGCAATTTACAGATTCAATGCAATACCAATCAAAATACCAAAGACATTCTTTTCAGTTATAGAAAAAGTGATACTGAAATTCATATGGAAACAGAGGAGGCCTCAAATAGCTAAAGCAATCTTATACAACAAAAACTAAGCTAGAGACATTATAATACCTTATTTTATAATATGGGTATGGTGGGAAGAATCACTATATTTCTAAAGTTGTACTTATGAAATTTATAATCATTAAATGAAAGGTTTCTTTGGAGAAAAAAATTTAAAAATGTAGTAGTAAAAAGGGCTGGTGCTGTGGTATAAGTTACGTTTCTGCCTGCAGCACTGGCATCCCATATGGTAGCTGGTCTGAGTCCCAGCTAGTCCACTTCCAATCCATCTCCCTGCAATATCCTAGGAAAGCAATGGAAGACAGCCCAAGTACTTGAGACCTGCACCCACTTGGGAGACCCAGAAGCAGCTTCTGGTTTCTGTCTTCATATCAGCCCTGCTCCTGTTGTTCCTGCTATTTGGGGAATGAACCAGTAGATGGAAGATCTCTCTCTATGTCTGTCCTTCTCATGCAATTTTGCCTCTAAAATAAATAAATAAATCTTTTATAAAAAAGTAGTAGGAGTGCCCACTTTAGCAGAATGATTATTAAAATTGAAACAATACAGACAAGATAAGTGTGATCCCTACACAAGTATGACACATAAATTCATGAAGCATTCCATATTTTTACCTACACCACCATGTTTATTGCAGCACTGTTCACAATAGCCAAAATTTGCATTCAAGGTTTCCATCATTAGATGGCCCAATAAAGAAAATATACACGGTGGAATATAATTCAGCTATAAAAAAGAATGAAGTTCTGCCGTTTGCAGAAAAATGCACACAACTGAAATACATCATGGTGTATACAATAAGCCAGATCCACAAAGACAAATACTACTTGTTACCCTTATACATAGAAGCTAAAATTTAAAAAAAGAAAAAAAAGGGACTGGCGCTGTGGCACAGAGGGTTAACGCCCTGGCCTGAAGTAACAGCATCCCATATGAGTGCCGGTTCCAGTCCCGGCTGCTTCACTTCCAATATAGCTCTCTGCTATGGCCTGGGATAGCAGTAGAAGATAGCCTAAGTCCTTGGGCCCCTTCACCCACATGCGAGACCTGGAGGAAGTTCCTAGCTCCTGGCTTCATATTTGCGCAGTTCCGGCCATTGCAGCCATTTGGGGAGTGAACCATCAAATGGAAGACCTCTCTCTCTCTCTGCCTCTCCTCTCTCTGTGTAACTCTGACTCTCAAGTGAAAAATAAATAAATATTTTAAAAAAGAAAAAAGAATTGTCTGTGTTTATCAGTATTGCTGCAAATATAGTTTTGTAAAATTTTGTTTTATAACTTTGTTAAATCAATGGTTAAGAATATTATACTACTACAGTATTAATGAGCTGTGTTTAAAATTTACTGTATAGAAGTGAAATGGTCATTTTTCTATCAATTATTGTTTTTAACCACTGTCTACATTCCCAATAAACTAGGGTCTTTTTGTTTTTTCCTTATTAAACTTCTTATTTGGTTAAATACTAAGCCTTCTTATTATAATATAATTTTAAAATAGGTTAACTGAAAAATAAAAAAAGAGTGAGAAAGAAAGAGAGATGGAAAGGGAGGAGGAAGGGAATATCATTATATCATTATGTTGTTAGAATTGTATCTACAAATCACAGTGACTCTGTTAAAACTAATAAAAAATGTGCAATTCGGGACATGCTCAAGCTGACTTACCTCCAACGGTAGAGTTAGAAACATACCAGGGGATTCCAATTCAATCCCATCAAGGTGGCATGTACCAATGCCATCTCACTAGTCCCAGTGATCAATTTCGGTTCACAATTGACCATAATGATAAGACTAAGAACCAAGGGATCACATAAACAAGAATAGTGTCTGCAAATACTAGCTGATAGAATAAAAAGGGGAGAGAACGATCCAACACGGGAAGTGAGATACACAGCAGACCCATTGAATGGCAGATGTCCTAAACAGCACTCTGGCCTCAGAATCAGCCCTTAAGGCATGTGGATCCGGCTGAAAAGCCCATGAGAGTATTTCAAGCATGGAAAGCCAAGACACTCTGGGGAAAAAAAAAATCCTAAATGAAAGATCTCTGTGAGATCCCAGTGGGAAGAATGGGTCATCAAAGAAGGAGGTACCTTTCTCTGAAGGGAGGAGAGAACTTCCACTTTGACCATGGCCTTGTCTAAATATGATCAGAGTCGGTGAACTCAGGGGGCTTCCATAGCCTTGGCAGCTCATGACAAGAGCCTAGTGTGATTACTGATGCCATAAACAAGAGTGTCAATTTGTTAAGTCAACAACAGGAGTCACTGTGCACTTACTCCTCATGTAGGATCTCTGTCCTTAGTGTGCTGTACATTGAGATTTAATGCTATAGCTAGTACTCAAACAGTATTTTTCACTTTATGTTTCTGTGTGGGAGCAAGCTGTTGAAATCTTTACTTAATGTATGCTAAACTGATCTTCTGTATATAAAGAGAAACGAAAATGAATCTAGATGTGAAGGGAAGGGGAGAGGGAGTGGGAAAGGGGAGGGTTGCGGGTGGGAGGGATGTTATGGGGGGAAGCCATTGTAATCCATAAACAGTACTTTGGAAATTTATATTCATCAAATAAAAGTTAAAAAAATTTAAATAAAGTTTTAAAAATAAATTAATTTTAAAAAATAGGAGGAGACAGACCTTCCTCTCTCAACTTCCCATAAAGATTAAAAGAGGAAAATCTCTGAGAAAGGAAAGGGTGGTTTAGGCAAGGAGGCAGTCAGAAGGAGAGACTGAAGTTCCCAGGCTCTCCCTGGAACACTTCTCTTTTACGCACCCCTTTTGTGCTGCTGAAAACTGCTGTTTCCCGGAAACAGGACCTGCCTAAAGTATCCAACATGGCTTCTCACCAAGTCCCCCCAGTGACATAAGCTTAATTTTAATAGCATTACATAAAATTCCCATAGCTTACACTCCTACTCCTATTACGCACCTGAGGACATGACACTTCTGAGACTTCCAAAAAAGGCAAGAAATTTGGCAGCACGCAAACCCTGCTCCTATTCCAAAACTCACTGGACACAGCAGCCTCTCCGTACTCCTTCTCGATGAGTACTTTAGGTTTGCTAACAGTAAATCTTATTCAGTTGCTAAACTTTACCCATGTATCCTTGATTTTCTTCCTGTGTTGGAGACAAAAATAGTAAACAGCCATCTGACAACAATTGTACTGAGCATTTTGAAGGTGAAATCAGTGGTAAGGCCATTCCAAAAAAATACATAGCTGAGCTATGCAGACTTTAATATAGATTTTAGGACTGTAAGTTTTCTACAGAATATACAAAAGTAAACAGAAGTGTACTCTTTCTTTTTTTAAGATTTGTTTATTTATTTGAAAGGTAGAATTACAGAGAGGCAGAGGCAGTGAGAGAGAGAGAGAGAGAGAGAGAGAGAGATTGGTCTTCAATCTGCTGGTTTACTCCCAAGGTGGCTGCAACAGCCAGAGCTGGACCGATCTGAAGCCAGGAGCCAGGAGCTTCTTCCGGGTCTCCCACATGGGTGCAGGGGCCCAAGGATTTCCACCCTCCACTGCTCTCCCAAGCCATAGCAAGGAGGTGGATCAGAAGTGGAGCAGCTGGAACTCAAACCGACGTCCATATGGGATGCTGACACTGGGGAATTTATCCATTACACCACAGCATTGGCCCCAGTATGCTCTTTCTAAACTCATATTATTCATCAGAAATGTGTATTCATTCAAATGAATGTTTTTCATTAAGTCAATCAAGATAAAGAGCTACAGTATAGCAGACAATACAAAGTCTTACAAATGCAAAGGCATTTTACATTTAAATTTTACATAACCATGAATACATTCATAGTCTTGGTACTTGTTATAATCTTCCTCCTGCTTTGGACAATTACCTCAGGCTGGCTTGGGAACCAAATCCTATCATCTTATTCTTGGCTTATGATCTTTAGGAGAACCTGGTGCCATCACCTGGGTTCTTTCAAATGACATCCCTCTGGCCATACAATTTATACAGAGGTTGGCCCATGAATTATTCAACTAATATAATTGAATCACAGGTGTTTGCTGAGAATTCTGGGACAAAGACATTGATCCCTTCACACTAGATGGCATCTATTGCATCATATGAAAATGAAGTCCCTAGAGCTTCCATAAACAATTTCCACCAGGGCCGGCGCTGTGATGCAGTAGGTTAATCCCAAATGGGCACTGGTTCTATTCCCGGCTGCCCCTCTTCCAATCCAGCTCTCTGCTGTGGCCTGGGAAAGCAGTAGAAGATGGCCCAAGTCCTTGGGCCCCTGTACCCTCATGGGAGACCACAAAGAAACACCTGGCTCCTGGCTTCGGATCGGCGCAGCTCTGGCCATTGCGGCCATCTGTGGAGTGAACCAACGGAAGGAAGACCTTTCTCTCTGTCTCCCTCTCACTGTCTGTAACTCTGCCTCTCCAATACATAAATAAAATCTTAAAAAAATTCCACTGTAAGGAAAACTGATCTTAGAATGGTGAAACCAATTATAGAGAAACCAGTGTATCCATAGGGGAAAAATTACAATAAAAACTAGTCTTTGCTGGTCCCACTATCTTGCTAGACTAAGCCACTTCTAACATTTGACTCCTTGAGACTTTTCAGTTATGTGTCAACCAATAAATTCTCTTTATTATTTCAGCTAGTTTGATTTGGATTTTATCTTAATAGAAATAAGTTTTTATTACTATAAATTCTTAAAATTAATATGATCTACAATTCTTTTCTTTCATAACTGGGAGAATTGTAACCCTGAGATGCACTCGCAAAATGAGATGCCCTCAATCTCCAAGGTACCTGGGATTCACGTTGAGCTCCCTGAAACTAAGAGCACTGAGGTACCTAGGTCGCCACAAACTAGCAGTTATTTAGCTTATCTGCTGGTGGGTTTGATTTTGTTTGTGATTTTCAAGGTGTAATGTTAGGATGGACAAATGTTTGAGCATCTTTATAGCGTGTTGTAATGGTTCAACCAGATACAGTGCTTTTGATAACTGGAGGCTTAACAGTAAGAGATTCTTGAAATGAAAATTTTAAGGTATCTTGAAGACACTGCAGTATAGCTGCTATTGCTCAAATGTTTTACAAAACACTGAATATTTTAGGAAAAATAGCAACATGGAAGCGAGAAAAGCATTAATTCTCCAATTTTTCTATCTTCTGACACCTCTCTCTTCCTCACCCGCTCTACCCCATGCATACTGAACCTTTTGCTCTTCCTCAAATATTTCAGGCATGTTTCCATCTTAAGACTTTTGCATTGACTCTTCTTGCTAGCCATTATAAATTGATGTAATTACGCTCTTAATTTTTTGTTCCTCTGGAAAGTCACAAAAATCTCTTCTTTACTTCCTAAATAAAGTGCTTACTCAAAATATCTCTTTTCTATGAAGTTTTCCCTTCCACTCCAACTGAAAATTAGAAATATCTCTAGCAATATGTGTTCCTCCCCTGCCTCAAAATCTCTATAGCGTTTGTCACCATTTATCATATCGTGTGCTTTATTTCTTTGTTTTCCATCTGTCTCCACCCACTGGAATCTTATCTTTATGAGGGTGTTTTTTGGTTTTCTTCACAGTTATATCCCAAACATCTCCAAGAGTCCCTGACATTCATTAAATATGTGTTCACTAAAGAGAGGACTCTGACTTTGCCCTAAATGGAATCATCTGCATTCCTAGATTTCACACTTTAGAAAGGCTTTAAGAAAAACAAAGCTAAGAGGAGACATGAAAATATCTCAGAGGAAGAGGAACTGGAAATGAAAGAAGCATGCCTTCAAGTTTGAAAAGAAATAACGTGCATTATATGGAGTGGGTAAGTAATCAAGACTTTAAACACTAGAATATAACATATTGTGAGAAAGTTTCTGAAAGGTGTAATTCCTGTGTGAATAGAGAGTAATATAATGGGGGGAAAGTCCAAAATTTTGCATGTGCCTCCAGCCTTTCCAATCGTGAGTCAAGAGTCCTGAAGTGAAAAGGATTGCAGATCACCTACCTCTGTAGATGAGTCAGACAAGCGACATTTGAATTGGCCTTACTCCTGAAATAAAATCACGCGACAGAATTCAAAGGGAGGTTTTCAGTTCCTGTCTTCAAAAGGGAATCAAGAAAAATTAACTAGGAAATAAGACTATAGGAACTTTATCAGCATCTGTAACCTTCACAACTTTCCCATCTTTGCTATTTTTATCTGTTTTCTATTTTCCCAGCAGAATTAACAGTAAAGCCCTTAAACCAAAAGAGTTCTTTGTGATTCTGTCAAAGGTCAGTAAATAAAAGGTCCACCTGGCAGCACTTCATAAGTTTCTGCCTTCCTTCTGGTGGATAACAAAACCTCAGCAGATAGAATGGGCAGCAGTGACTATCAAAAAAGAAGTCTTGCCAGTCTGTAGAAAGGAGAAAATGAGGAGCTCACTATGAATCAGGCCCTGTGACTGTCCTTTGCAAATGCATTGGAGATCCCCAACATTTAGAATTCTATGTCTTCTAAAAAGCAGTGAACATGAGCATATAGGAGCAGGTTCAAAAACTGTTTCAAATATATTTACTATTTAATTTATAATGGGATCTTAATCAAATGATGGATGTTTGAGATCTTTTTGGAGTGTGATGTTGCAAAACACAGCTCTGAAAGGCTCAAGATATAACTTGGTGAGAATCAGAGGCCAAATCACAGAGTGGCTAGACAATTAACTGGTTCGGTCTAGTATGACACATGTGACCTTTAAGATGGTGTGCAATAATTGCCGTTAAATGAATGTCCTCATGAAAATCTAGGTAATAAGTCCCTTGATAGAGGAAATGTTTCTAAATAAACAAAATATCAAATATGCTTGATAATGAGCTCAAATTGTGCATTTTGCCTCTGAAAATGTCCCAAAAATTACAGCACACTAAGATGACTTCTATGACTACCTTCTGCCAAATTTACCAACTACATTACTGAGAATTCATCTTGGATATACATGGCAATATATGGAGTAGAGAGCAGGTTCGCTGCTGAACATTCTACAGTTGTACTCAAAAAATGCATAGCCCCCACAACAAAGAAATATGCAAGTTCAAAATGTCAACATAGTACTGCAGTTGAAAATCACTGCTCACAGAACATTAGGCTGTGAACTTGGCAAAAATGTCTCGAAACAGAAGCAGAAAACTGTATGAATAGCACATACTAATTTTAATTGCTGTCATAATTTTTAGTATTCAGAGAAACTTTCCTATAGGAATATATCAGAAAAAGAATGCAGTTTCTTATGACCTAACATTTAAGAACTCTGCAGTATTTCAGTATATGATAGGCCCCAAAACAATTCCATTATTACACTTTCATTTCTCCCTCATTAACAGACAAATGATTCTGAGTCACCAGATGCCACTCAATTGTGTTCTATCTCCTGACATTCCCATCTGGATAACACATTGTAGATGATCAACAACCCGCAGGTCAAAACTTAGCTGTTGTGTAAGCTTATCAGCAAACAATTCTGTCTACTGACTTCTTAGAAAACAGGGCTATCAAGAAGTAAGTGAATAAACAAGCTCTCACTCAGACCTGTGGTTTCATTTTGGCATTAATCTCCCATAAAGTGATGAAATGTCCCGTATGTTCAACCAGACACATTCCTTGAATGATGAGACAGGTCCCCAACAATAGTGAAGTGTTCTATCAATCCCTGAGTGATGTAACAATATACACGTGCAAACATTCCATTCCTGGGAGAGGATTTCTGGTAAAACAATTTGGCCCACTCTCCCAATTCAAACAACTGCAGATACATTCCACTGTGTCATTTTCAATAAAGACAGGTGGTCTGCTGGTTCTTCATACTGCAACTCTGCTCTGTGCTGGGAATGATCCTTATACTTCACTTTAAACACACATGTGTATAAAGTATTTATGGTGACATAAATCAGAGGCTCTTCAACTGGCTATACACCAAGCAGTTCTATTCTGTGCACACTTCATAGAATTATAAGCTAGTGCTTCTTTTTGTAGAGCACCCAATACAAAAATCTGAGTTTGCTATTGGCATGAATGGCATGAACTTTCTCACTAGCAGCTGAGTTAAATGGCAGCATTAATGCACAAACAAGGTGTACTGTGCTTCCATTCAAAGTCTGAATGGCTCAGTGTACACTTTCCATGTTTGCAATTTCATGTGACATCGGTTGTTCAACCGTCTCCATGTGTTTTTAGTTTTATTTTTAGATTTATTTATTCATTTATTTGAAAGGCAGAATGAGAGAGAAAAGGAGAGAGAAAGAGCTTTCATCCACTTGTTCCCTCTCAAAATGGTCTCCACAGCCAGGTGTGGGCTAGGCTGAAGCCAGGAGCCATGAACTGCATATCCTGGTCTCCCTCAAGAGTGGTAGGGGTCTAAGCATTTGGATCATCTTCTACCTCCTTCCCAGGCACATTAGCAGGAAGCTGGATCAGAGAGTGTACCTGGGACTCATAGTGGTGCTGCAATATGGAAAACAGGCATGCCAAGCAGCTCTTGCAGTTATAAACCTATGCTTTTGTAGAACATTTCCAGAAATTAACACATGGGGAATCAATATATAGAGGAGTTGTATATGAAGTATTCAAAATGACTATTCTAAAGCTGTGGCTTACTCTTTTCTTGTTATTGATAAAGCTATTGGCATCCAATTTCTCTTCTATGCGCTCTCTACCAGTGAGTATAGATCAAACATTTCCTGGTGCATGCAATTCAACAAGGATTATAATCTTGAACTCTTGGCCTGATGATAAGGAGTTAGTTGCTAAAGCAAATGTATCCAGTCTGCCTTAGAAGGGCTTTGGTTCCAGGACCACCTCCTGAAGTTATTTGCTACAGCTACCTTATAGAAGATGACAGGCATCAAAATAATCTGGATTTCAAATAAAATGAATATCTGTTTCGACTTTAAAATTGAAAGCCAGTCCTTTCAGATTCTTCCCACAACCATGTGCTCTTCAATGTGCCCACATGGACTAGGGCTCTCTGTTCTATATTCTAGCCCTTAGGAAACATCTGGAATTATGGAGATGTCAGTCTTCATATACTGCTTACTGTGAATTTGCAATATAAATTATGATGAAATCCTACTGGAAATGCATAATTTATATAAATAGCTTATTGATATGTCTCAATTAGAGGAGAGACATATAATATGAATTTCCCTAAATCACAGCTATGTGTCATACTGTATTAAATTTCAGTGCCTCAACCCTTCAAGAGAGTAGGAGATTCTTCGAATCTCTGAGCACTTTTCAACAACTACAGTTCACTTTGGGCTGGTTTAAAATTTCAGTCGTGTTTTCACCTCACGAATCTCTTCCTCTCCCAACAAAGGCTGAGCTTCTGGGCTTGAGGAACAAGAGGAAATAGAAAATTATTCTTTGTACTTTCCATGCCTCCCTTTCACCTCCATGTTTTATGTTGAGTCAAGGAAGAGAGGTAAGGAGAAAGGTGAAAGGGAAAGAAACCTTGTTTGTAACAGAGCAAACTGCTGTTTTTTCTTTGGCCAGCACTGACTAGCTGGTAAAACACCAAGGACTACTTGTATGACTCTGAAATGTGACTTGATTGGTAATTCCAAAGTGAAAGAAATTAAGTATATGTTCAAATAATTATAGTATTGTGTATGAATGCATGGGAAACTTTATTACCAAAAAAAGAGCTTCCCAGAAGTAGCGAAGAAAAAACTGACTTTGGAATCAACGTAACACCTGCAGTAGGCATTTGGCACAGTGGTTCAATAAGCATTTGGCAGGCCCACATCCGCTACCAGAGTACCCAGGGTTAAGTCCTGGCATGGCTTCAGATTCAGGCTTCTTGCTAAAATGCACCCTAAGAAGCAGCAGGTGATGGCTTGAGTACTTGGGTCCCTGTCATTCATGAGGGAGACCTGGATTGAGTTCCATGTTCCAGGCTTCAGCCTGGCCCAGCCTGGGCAGTTGTGGGCATTTGGAAGTGACCACATAATGGAAGATCTCTCCGCTATTCTGTCTGTCTCTGTGTTTCTATTTTTAAATAAATAAAAATAATTTTAATTATTAAATAAAAACAGAAAATAACACAACACAGAATAAAAACTCTACCTGTGGTGGCGATATGGCAAGTCTCTAATTTTTGTAGTCTTAGCATAAATAATAGACATAACAGAAAAAGCAAAGTCAATGAAAGAAAATGATTTTTCTAAGCATTCTCTTTCTTAGAATTTTTAGTATGTTTTGTATCTACATATTAAATAAAATGACATATTTGCAATTATGTAATAACAGGCACTATGCTAAATATTTTCCTGGAATGATTTTAGATTCTTAATTTAAATCTATAAATTTCTCCTGTCTCTGACTACAGTTCTCTTAGTCTGAGCATTTTTGTTATTGCTAGGAGCATCTGGAAAATCTTTAGCATTTGAATGCAAATTATTTTCCTTTTTGATCTCCATCCCACCTTCAGGCCTCACCCCCAACATTGTTGTTCCCACTCAGGTACAATGAATAAAATATCTCTGCTTTCAAGCAGGAAATGTATTGAAATGGTAAGTGGTAATAAACACACCAGTGATTTTATTGAAATTTTTAAATAAAATGATGGACTATCTAAGTACTTGTTATGCAGCAAGGCAATAGCTCCACAAAGGCATAGGCGTTTGTTTTAAGGTAAATATCCCCAGTCTCTGCATCACAAGTCCTCCCCATTATCCAGACTTCTCTGTGGGGAATAGATTTGTAAGTGAAATTTGTTAGAGGAGTATCTGGACTTATTTTGATGCCTGCAGCCACCCATGGTTTTGCAACTGGGTTTGTTCTCATTTAAAATAATTTCAGATCTAAACAAAAAAATTGTGTTGTCTAGACTCAGTGTGATTTACCCAGTACCTCAAATCAGTATTAGAAGCATTATGAAAAAGACAAATTTGGTCTTGTGCCTCTTCATGTACAGCACATAATTCAGTCCTGTAGTGAGCTCATTGCATTCAGACTGCCATGTGTGAACCTTATGTTATTCTGCCCTTTCCCAATATTTAAAAACTGATACCTATCTCTGCAAGAGGATAAGTGTTTTCCTAAGTTGAAAACATTCAGCTCAGTCTTGGTCTGCATTAACTCTATTGAATTCTTCAAATACATACCAGGTTAATGAAGACTAAACCATGGTGGGCTAAATTTTTTGATAGATATCGAAGTCTTCTTTGATCCTGATAACCCACAAATGTTAAGCATGAGTGAGTTTTCACGGTCAGCATGCAGTGATTTTGATATTTAACTTAAGCTCTAGCCCAATATGGTTTATTTTACTTATGAGGATGGTATGCTTAGAACTAAGAAGCAGGAAAAATTGGAAACAGCACAAGGATACAAAACATGACATCTCATGACCATTTTCCCATTTGGCTAAGAATCCACATTATTTACTTGTGACTTCAAGGGCTCTCTTTCTGTGTGTGAGTTCATTTGAAGTAAAACAAACAAAAGCTGAGAGAATGCTTCTTCCCCTTATTTGGCCAGCCCCTGGCTGCTTTCTTTTATAAATCACTATCTCCCTTTCCCATCATGACAAAGCTTCTGACCCCAACCAGGGAACAGGTGGCAACAGAAGGCCCAAGAAGGATGAGATGAGGTAGGGTAAAGATGAGCAAAGTAATAATCCACCTTCGTTTTCAACACTTAAGTAATACTAAGTAACAAGCTTCAGTGAATACATACAGTCCCTCAATTTTCCCTGAGTCAAAATAAATCCTGTGTCCAATTTGTAGAATTCACTAGAGGTCAGGATTCCAGTGGAAACAGAGCAGTGTCTACACAGATTGTGTATAAAATACATGTAACATACTTTGTGATTCCACTTAGACCTCCTAATAAATTGGAAAAGCAGTTATCCTTGGGAGGGTGGTGGCTGGGGAGATGCATGAGGGGGCTTCTGGAGTCCAGATCATCTGTTCTTATTGTTACTAACACAGGTGGATACACTCTGTGAAATCTGTTTGATTTGCACACTCATCAATGGGTATACATAGATAACTAGTCCATGAATTCTCAACCTCTGTGCTATGGACATTTTGGAGATCACACAACTCTTTGCTGGGCCTTTGTCCTGTGCATTGTAGGGTGTTTAGAAGTGCTCCTGGGACCAGCAGTGTAGCACAGGGGTTAGAGCCCTCCCCAACTGTCACAGTCAAAAATGTGTCCAGAACAGTAATATGTCTCCTGAGAATCTATTGTATAACCCATCATTGTAAAAGACTTAAAGTCTGCAGCCTAGTGAAATAATTATTAAAGATAAGATTATTGCATCATAGCAATGAGCAATATTATCAGTCTTGGAGAAAATTATGTGGGTTGGCATTCATTTAAATTCATGCTGTCTTCAAAACTATTAAAGTTTATTATATTTTTGATATGCCATGTTTTCCACTGCTTAACGTTCATGTGTCGCTTCTATAAATCAAATGCAGCCAATTCAGAAATGCTTTTGACAACTGATTGATTGATTAATCTCAGTTTTGAGCAGAATAATTGGCAAGAAAAGAGAATTCATTATAGGACTACATTATTTATAGAAACAAGAGGGCTCAAAATTACCTGCAAGACAAATATGAGTGTATTCTCAGTTCTAATAACAACACCTGACTTTACGAATGGCT